TTTCTGTCTTGTTGAACTTTGCTACTAGTGCTGGAGCAAGATGGTATCTCATTGTTGTTTTGATTTGCATCTCTCTAATAGCTAATGTTCATGAACTTTTAAAGCAGGGTTTCTAAGTTGCAGCATGACTGGAATTTTGTGCCATGTAACGTGCTTTGTTGTCCGGGAGGGAGCTGTACTATGCATTGCAGGATCTTTAGCAGCACTGTGACCTCTACTCATGATGCTAGCAGACCAACAACCCCCACACCTAGTGTGACAACCAAAAATGTCTTCTGACATTGTCAAATGTCCTCTTGAGCAAAATTGCCCCTGGTTAACAATCATTCCTTTAGAGAAATTATTAAGAAAGACAGTACCCTATACTATGCTTCTGAATTTAACTAAGCATTCACAGAGATGATTCATAGACATCACTTTAATCTTTTCACTAGTCACTATAGTGCTTTTTCTATGTAAAAATAAAACTTACAAAATTGCAGCCCACTGTGACTCATGTTTCAATAAGTCAAAAGAAAGATTTTTTTAATAAAATTTATCAATAAGAATTTTAAGTAACAGTACTGGAGACATAAGAGTGATCAGGGATGTATACATGCTAAGATAGCTAACAAGGAATTTAAAATTTATCAAAACAGACTTACACTCATTAAATGGCATTAAACACCTGTCTCTAAGAAAATGCAAATTAAACAAGGTCCTCTCTGTCTTCCAAAAAGTGCTGACTTGAACTGAGATGGGTTACTTACTGTAAATATATAAGGTATTTGTTCTCTCGAGAGCTAAGGGTGCTAAATTGAATGCAAGGTTTTTATCAGTTTTTTCCTCCTGGTCATAGCTGAATCAGGGACCTTCAGAAGGAATTTACATTATACTATACTGAATAAGTGGTAATAGGCTAAGACTAGATTATGTCTAAAGGCCCTTACAACACTGAAATTCTATTACTGTATTTGTTGGAATGAAAGAAATAAAATTGAAACATTATAGGTATATTAACAGTAGGCTTACACCAAATTAGAATACTGAACCATCTTTAATCTTTTAAGATGTTTTCTCATAGTATGATTTAGTAACATCCATACACATATTTTTAAAATAGGACTTATATTGTAGTGGACTAAACTCACTGCCGTGGAGTCGGATCCGACTCATAATGACTCCTCCTTAGGTTTCCAAGGACGTATCACTACAGAAGTAGATTGCTCAACCTTCCTTCCAAGGAGTGGCTGGCGGGTTTGAACCACCAGCCTTCTGGTTAGCAGTCAAATGCCTGAGGCACTATGCCACCACAGCTCTATTCCAAAATCAAGGATAAAGAAATGCTATGTCATTGAGGTAGAACATAGTTCTATTAAATGTGGAATATGTAGACAAAGGAATTGAAATTAACATTAAGGATATGTTACAGCATGTCCACAGGAGCTGTCCACTCTATGATTTTACAAGGAAGGGGAACGATAAAAATAGGTAATATAATAAGTGTTCAGCTTAAGCATCTAAAGAATAAGTGATAAAGAAGTTCCAAATTCTCATTTTTTACTTTTTAAAAATGTTGGTTATAGAAAGCAGCATCACATTAACTTATCATACTAAATAGCCAGCTTCCTTAATATAACATATAATATTATACTAAAGATTAGTTATTACCCAGGGAATATATGACAGAAAGAACTTAAAAACGTCTATCTTTAATTTTAAAACCAGTCTTCAAATACATCTGGAATTTTCCAGCAGAATCAAAAAATGAACTTCACTGTTGTTTACAAATTATTTGCCAGGATACAACGTTGAATATTTGCTAGTACAGTTCAGATAATATTTTGGTGCTATTTTTAGAAGATCAAATATTATTTGGTCACTTATTACTTCAATCATGCAGGTAGATGTTCTAATGAACAGTGTATTAAGATAAACTGATTTTTAACTACTATTTATCTGTTAAAGCTTGCATCAAATTTAAAACATTACATTTTCATAATTTTATACAAGGTTTGTGCCTTTTGGTAACTAAATTCAAACCATAACCCCTTGGGAAGTATCACTTATCTGCATTCCCAATAAGAACTGGTACTATCATATTTGCCCATTTATAAATAACAGGAACAAAAAGTCCAAGAGATCCAACAACTGAAACCAGCAGGAAAGTCCACAGAAACAACCGATCAAGAACCTGGGCTATAAATTTCCACTCTTCCACAACCTGTTACAAAAAAATAAATAAAAACACATTAAACACATAACTTAAAATTGCATACATATTTTAAGATATATTGAGTTAGATGCTAACTCCAAACAGTAAGTGCCCCTGTACTCAGATTCAGGGACAGAAACTACATAGCTTCCTCAAACTTTAAAAGATAGCACAAAATTTGTTAATCTATAATCCAGTAGTAATAGATTATAAGTGGCTTATGTTTACAAATTCTTAGCAAAAACAAAAATATTTATTCTAGTTGGATATTTTACAATAAACTAAAAAACTTAAAAAA